TTCCAAGATCAGCAGACAAGACCACAAGTTTTCTCCTGATTCACGTAGCTGCAGGGGCTAGTGCACCCAAGATCAGCAGGTCAGGGAACAGGACTCTTGCTGGCAGGCTATGAAGATTGATGAATTCCAAGATCGACAGGTAAGCTGCTAGCTCAAGTGCCGAGAACTGGAGGTAAGATGACAAGAGGCAGCCACTGAGTCTGGAACAAGCCAAAAACCTTGGCAAGACGAGCAGGAAGGAAGTAGCTGGCAGAGGGCGGAGAGATGAAGGCTGAGGGGGCGGTGAGCCGCCACAGGCCCTGCCGCCACTGGTACTACTCAGCAGATTTCATCGTGAGGGTGATCACATGTCATATTTCAATAGGGAAGTGATCACAACATTAATCAATTGCCAAAACACTGAGACTCATGGCCTAGCCAAGTTGACATACAATCTTAACCATCACAGATATCAAACATCTTCATTAGTGGGAAAAGAGTAGTCAATGATAGTCATTTAGGTCAAATGATGATCTATATAAAGAAAAACTTAAGTTATATCATTATCTCATAAAATCCACCAAAAAGTTATGAGACTAAAACAACACATTGTTCTGGGTCTATAATGAAAGATTTTTGTGTAAAATGTTTGGAATTAATTTCTATTTCCAATTTTTCACATCCTTAAGGGGTAAGAACCACACAGCCTGAGGTCCACACCCTGTCTTTGGGTCTTGAGGCCACACTTTTTCAAGGTATGAAACCCCACTGCTCCTTGACTGGGAAGTGTGAACCTCCTCAGAGTACGTGATGGTGTAGATGAGAAATGAACGTGGCACTGTCCACTGAGCATCATGCAGTGCCCAGGAACCCATACATCTAATCACTAGGCAATTGTGATTATTCAACAATAAAACATAAATAGTACTATTTTGAGTTTTGTATATTTTATTCTCATGGATACTAAGATGTTAAGACATAAATGCTTATTATTTGGACCATACTACATAATGGAACTGCTGGGATTTCTTAGCAGTGCCACAAAAAAATAACTAGGACATTAAGGATGTTGTGACTTGGGAAAGTTT